TGGACACTGTTTGAATTTAAATATTCTAAGAGAACAATCCACATTATGTCTGTTATGGAAAGTTATGTTCTGCTGGTTTTATTTTTGTTAAAAGTCTTATTCTCTAAACCCTTGCTCAATACACTAATGGAAAATAGATACTGTACTGCAATACATTGCCTGCTACAAACTGCTGCCATCTCTTGATCCTCAGGTTCCTCTCAAAGTTAGCTAACACTTACTAGAATTACTGCTCAAATCTGACTATTTGTTACAAAAGCAAGTGAACCTGTTCTAGTCAAATAAACAAAGCACAGGTAGCTATCCAAAATAGGTATAAATGCAATGATGACTGAGATGATCACTGTAGGTCCCCTCCAACTGAAATATTCTATTCTAAGTGAGAATAACTACAGCCACATGTAGAGAGGACTGTGAAAGCCAGGGAACAGAGCTGGGTTCTTTCTCCACCTGTAAGGAAGAATTTCCAGAGATCCACATTTTTCAAAGTGTAAAAGATAAGGATCCATTGACAGTCAATGAAAATAGTTGAGACATATATAAAGAAAGAAAAGAAACTTGTGCTACACTACAGATGTTCCCAGCCACGGAGTTTGAAGCTCTGTCTCTTTAATCATCAGAAGAGTGCCCAAATTTTATATCATACATTTCCTTCTCTCAGTTCAGAAAGTCTTCCTTGCTTTCAGCTGCTACCTCTGCTAGGAAGAATTTAACTGCAAAAATGATTGCTCACATCTAACATTAAAAAACACAGTACTGCTAGAGGGGGGAAATGACCTAGCCAGGTGTCCAATGCAGAATCCTTACCCTCATACACAGATGCTGTCCCAAGTAGATCAACAGAAGCACATGGAATCACAGAATGGTAGGGGTTGGAAGGGACCTATGGAGATCATCTAGTCCAACTCCCCTGCCAGAGCAGGTTCACCTACAGCAGGTTGCACAGGACAGCATCCAAGCACGTTTTTAATGTCTGCAGAGGTGGAGCCTCCACAACCTCCCTGGCAGCCTGTTTCAGTGCTCTGTTACCCTCACAGTAAAGAAGTATTTTCTTTTGTTTAGGTTAAAACTCCTGTGCACCAGTTTGTAACCATTACCCCTTGTTCTGTCACAAGACACCATTCAGAACAGTCTGACCCCACCCTTCTGTCACCCGCCCTTTAGATATTTAAAAGCACAGACAAGATTCCCCCTCAGCCTCCTTTTCTCTAAGCTGAACAGACCCAGCTCTCTCAGCCTTTACTAATAGGGAAGATCTAGTTTAGCTCTGTGTTTCCCATCTTGGAGTCCCAGCATTTAAAGTAAAATTTGGTCTACTGGACAAGCAGATTTACAATAAATTCCCTAGATGCTCTCAACTGGACCCAGCTCATTAGTATTATAAAAAATAAGCTATCAAATTAACTTAAAGAAGCTAAAATAAAGTGCTTTTAACAGAAGCCAATTAGCACATACTAATACTGTCTATTTGCAAATTAAAAACTTCAGAGCTAACTTATTAAAAAATAAAAATGGTTGCCTGCAGCATGATCAAAGACTTAAGCCCCACACAAACCCCAAAACAAAACCACCCAAGTACAACTCCTCTCCTCCTGCTTCATCAGGTCCTCCCCATCTTGCTGTTGTTCAGGTTCAAGGTCTCCAAATACTGCAGAGACTGACTGGAATACATTTTTCTGTTAAAAATAAAATATTAAAAGACACTTACGGATTTAGATCCTAGATTTGGCAACTACTAATAATCAACAGATCCTGAATTGATTTAGCATATATATTTAAACCAAGTCTTCTAAATGATAAAAAGAGGAAAAATCAAAAACATATGCAAATTAGTTTTCTTTTAAAAAGGCTATTAAAATGGAGATAATTATGCTTTTCAATGGGATTCTTTTCATCATGGGGGCTCAGTGCTGTTTCCTTGATCTATTTTTTCAAAGCTATGATCAAGAGTTTCAATATCAGAAGCACAGTGATGACTGTAAATTCAACTAAAAATACTGTAATTAAAACACAACTGGCCTGGCTTTAGAGCAAAAGGCTAACAGGATGTATTTCTTTTAAAAATGTCTATAATTGCTCTCTCCCAAAACAACCTAGCCCAAATTAAATAGGTATTAAAAAGTGTATGGCTTGGCATTACTGCAAACCAAAAAATGAGTGAATTAAAGTTGGCAGAATCTCTCCCAGGTGACTTAGCTTAAGTGCTAAATGTAGATTTTTGTTTCTTTGGGACTTGTGAAAGAAAATAAGTTATTTCTTCACCTCCCTGCAGTAGCTTTTTTTAGGAGAGACTGGAGAGGGAGACTGACAAAAGAATTTATTTGGAATTTATTCTGCATGAAATACCTTTCAGGATAAGCAGTGAAAAACTCGCAGGTGATTACATGAATATTCACTAGTGCACACTGAGCACAAGGGCCACTTTTTATGCCAGATACAGTAATATTTGAAATACATTCCAGGCAAACTACCAGGCTAAACTTTTGCAGAGAAGCTATGT